AACGTATTATAAATGCTTACAACACATACATAATAATCAAACTCTCCTGGCCAACAGGCCAGGTCCTGTGCTAGTTATATTCTAAGCTAGCACACGCATTGATGCTGCTAATACCCACTAGGGCACTAAAGGCACTTGTTTTCGGCTACCAAGGTGGTGCAGTTCTGCCCACATTCTAACGGGCCATAGGCCCAGTATTAAAATGGGAAATGGGCCCCAAAACAAGTTTAGTACATCTGATGATTAGTGATACAATTAGGGGAACTCTCTTTAACTAATGGCTGTTGATAGATGATGTGGTCCGCCTGTTCAAGAAAAACACCTGGCTTTATACTTGGGTCAGAGAAGGAGCCTCATTCTTCTGGGCTTGTATCTTGGTTAGGTGTTCATTCGGGTTCGGTTTTTTGGGTTTGCCCAAAATCGATTCGATTAGATACATTTTCGGTTTTTCGAGTTTGGGTTCGATTTTGCTTATTGGTTTTTTGGGTTTCGATTGAAAACATTCAAGAATCAACACTCAATCCGTATTCTTAACCGTTCGGGTTTCGGTTTTGCTTTAATCGAACCCGAACCCGATAAGGACTTTTCGGGTTTCGGTTACCGGAAACCCGAAAATTCCTTGTCGGGTTCGGGCTCGGTTTTCAGTGATTTCGATTTTGGGTTTTGTCGGGTTTCGGTTCGGGTAACCGAACCTGACCCGAACGGACAACCCTAATCTTGGTTTGCTAACATGATCGTTGAAAAATAGTGGACTAAATCGGATAGTTTGATTCAGTTTGTAGACTGTGGGAAATGCAAGGTATGATCTGACTAAATTGTATATCCAGCTCATTTCTCAATTAATGTTAGCAACTCACTAAATCGCCCTTTCAATTTCTTAACGAGATCCAAGTCTCAAACTTAATTCGCAATTCTTGTCCCCTTCTTCATTCAAAAACCATACTCTTGCCATAGAGTAGAGAAGCCGGGTTTGTATAATGGATGAAACAACTCTCAGGCCTCAGCCTTGGTTTTTGCTAAACCAGCAGCTCAAAAGGAAGGTGGTTGCAGTTCTCTTTTTTGCTCAAGAAGTCACCATCGAACAAACAAAGGCTGGAACTCCCATATCCCTTACTTAGATCCATAACATACAAAAGAAAGAAAGTGAAGAAATGGGTAATCTCGTGACTGCTGTACCCACTGATCTCTACAAAGAACCCTTTTTTTCTTACCCATGGCGCCTTTTGTTTCAGCAGGTAAAAAAACAACTGATGCAGCTAGCAAAAGAATCTATCTCCATTCTCCAGGCCTTCATCTCATGATAGCTAAAGGGCCTGGAGAGGGCAGCTGGTAAATGTATGATTAGATTCCCATACGCACTAAAGAAAAAAAAAGGGATTTTTACTGCTACTGTTGTTTTGCTATTCCGTGGTTGTTTCAGGCCAGGCATCCAGATTCCCATACCCAGTAGAAAGAAGCAAGTTTTGCACTCATCATTTCACTACTGCATCAATCTTCTGTCTTTTTACTGTGTGTTTTTTTCTTCCTCAAACCTTGTTGCTTCCTTTTCGTCTTTAATGGGCTTTATCCGGCCGCCTGCAGCTTGCTTTTATCATAATCGGCTGCTGCTGTTCTTCAGTGCTCTCGAACTCTCGGCCCTTGTGATTGTGGGAATTTGGGAGAACGGAAAAAGGGAACTGTGGCTGGGGGCTTTTTCCAGTTTGGGGAGGTTTTGTTACTGTCAAGCTAGCTAGCTAGTGTGTGTTTTGATGTGTCATTTTCCATGTCAAAAGCAACATTGGCAATGGCGACTATGATTTCTACAGAATGTAACTTGGGATTAGTCATCATTGGTGGTTTTTGGGCTTTTGGCTGGGTGGGTTGACAATATAATGGGATGGTAACAATTGAACTGTGGGGTAAAAGAGTTTTGATTGGATAACAATGAGGATGTTGACCAATCTGACACTCTTAAATTTTGATTTTGAAATTTATACATGGTATCAAATTGATGTTTGCGATTATTAAATTGTGAATATAAAGTGTGGATTTATCTCGACAAGGCAATGGTTTCGATGATTAATATAAATCCAAGTTCTATCTTTATTTCTTGTATGATTTTTTTTTCTTATGAAAAGATGAATGCAATTCGTAAACAAGATCGTCCAAACACGTTTGAAATGTTATCTTAGAGATTCTCTTTCAAGCTAATCATAGAGATAGAGTAATATGGGGAAAAGAAAATGGTTTCAAGCACCAATAGGAACAAAGGCATCTATTGTCTTAAGGATATAAGAACCGATCATTCACATTTAATTTAAGAAGTGATACTTAATTTTAAATGTTTTTTTTTTAAGGGCAATATCAATTTTTTTATTGAAGCTCAATGCTATCACCTTTTAACTAGGTAGAAGCATTCTTAATTATTTACAAGATGCTGCAGAAAACTCCACTAATACTCTAACATACTACAAAAACACCTTGCTACAATTAGAATGAAGGTTTATATTGCCAATTCTAGCTAATTCAATCAGCCTTCTAACTGTCCTTACTATCTCACCACTCGGTTTACCTTGTTCCCCATGCATCCTTGAGCATCTTTCGCGCCATACCAAACTTACAGCTACATTCCACACCAAGCTTCCCACTAAAGCTGTTGCTTTCTAGTGAAATCATGAAGATTTTTCCTATCCTATCTTTTTATATATATATATATGGAATAGTCAATATAAGTTCATAGAGTTATTCTATCTAAGTGCAACATGAAGAACATAAGCTAAATGGAAGGGGGGAAAAGACTTGAGACATAAAAGAGCATAACATGAATGATTCAATGGATTTTTATTCATATACATGAATACATGTGAAACTATTGACCTAATTTCATACTTTTTTATTACTACTAGCAAAACCCCGCTCGCTATCGCTTCGCGGATTAGAAAATAAATATTTTAAAGAGTAATAGTTTTATAATGTTGACTCAAAAGTGAAAGTAATCTTATTTTATTCTTCATCATTCTTTTCATAGGTTTGTTATTTACAATAGCATATGATTGATGAACTTGCATAAGGTAGAAGGGTCGTCGAATATATTATTTATGTTTGAACTTCTTTCATGAAGCTTCAAACTCGCTTATGACCCCAAACTCTCAACACTACGTTCAACTCGCTTTGACCGGGTCGACCCTTTATAACAGATTCACAATTTACCCAACTTGTCAATTACAAAAGCGGATAAAACTCGCTCTCGATACGAAACGCGTCAACAATGGGTCGGAGTTCAATTGTCTTTCTCAACGAAAAGGAAAATGAGAAATAAAAAAACATTAAAGCATACAAAACTCGCTTTCAATCTAAAACTGTTCAACAATGTGTTCAACTCGTTTTGAACAATTTTTTAACAAATTAACAATTGGTCCAACATACAAACTACAAAAGCGGATAAAACTCGCTCACAATATAACACTCGTCAAAACCTTAGATTCGGGTTCAATTGTCTTCCCAACCAAAAGAAGAAAAAGAAAAATTTATAAATGCTAAAGTCTGTTTCAAGTCGCTTTGACCGGATCGAATTAGGTTGGATACCCATGGATTTGGTTTCAATTGTGATCATGCTCAACAAAAAGGAAAAAGTGAAAGAAAAAAACACTAAAGCGAACAAAATTCAGTCCACATATAAAACTCGCCAACATCGAGTAGATATGGTATGGATTTTCGGTAGCGGCACTGGGTTCAATTGTAATCACGCTAAACAAAAAGGAAAAGGAGAAAGAAAAGAAATACTAAAGAGGATGAAACTCGGTCCCGATACAAAACTTGTGGTAACGACCTTGGGAAACGATGGTGTGGAACAATTTAAGATTCCGCCGACAATATTTTGAGATGAGCTGCAAAATGGTGGACAAAGGAGATGATTTGTGTTCAAATTAGGATACCCATGTGTTTGGGTTCACTTGTGATCATGCTCAACAAAAAGGAAAAAAAGAAAGAAAAAACACTAAAGAGGACGAAACTCGGTCCAGATACAAAGCTCGTGGTAATGGCCTTGGAAAACGATGGTGGAGAACAACTTATGATTCCGCCAACGCTATTTCGAGATGAGCTGCAAAATGATGGGCAAAGGCGATGCTTTATGTTCAAGATAGAATACCCATGTGTTTGTGTTACTCAACAAAAGGGAAGAAAAGAAAAAAACACGAGGATGAAATTCGGTCCCGATAAAAAATTCGTGGCAGCGACTTTGGAAAACGGTGGTGGGGAAGAACTTAGTATCCCGTCGACAGTATTTCGAGGTGGACTGCAAAATGGTGGGCAAAGACGATGATTTGTGCAAAAAGTTAAGACGAAAACCTAGCGAACAATAACTAAACACAAAGGTAATGATTTGTGCAAAAAGCCATATACGAAAATTTAGCGAACAATAACTAAACACAAAGGCGACGATTTGTGCGAAAAGCCATAGACAAAAATCTATCGAACAATAACAAAACACAAAAGCGATTATTTGTGCAAAAAGGCATAGACGAAAATCTAGCGAACAATAACTAAACACAAAGGTTGTAGAATTGTGATAGAAACCAACTTCCGTTCGGTTTCTATAATTATTATTATATTAGAGTAATTAGTCTTTTACTCGTATTAGGTTAATTGTTAGGGTTTTATGGTTCTTTCCTATATATGTACGTTGTTATTCGTCTATTCAATCAATAAGAAGAATATTAAGAAAACCCTTTCAAACCCTAATCTCCCTATCCTCTCAGTTCTCGTTCTCAATCCCCCTAAAGGCCTAGGCCTATTCTGTTCTTCTTCTTTCCCAAATCCTCAATCTCTTCCCCAATTCTATCCTCAAATCCCTAAATTCCCAATCACCCTCACAATCGATAGAACCCTGGAAATAGAGTTCTATCAAATTGAGAGTGGGGTAAAACAATGACTTGAAACTTTCTCACCTACACTTGAAAGGGTGTAAAAGCCATTAATAAATATAGTAACTTTCATATTAGGCTTTTATATATTAATCACCAAACAAATACCATTAAATTTGATAGAGAAAGACACATTAGATCGAATGGAGTATTTAACTTAGAGCATTTCTAGTACAACACAAAAGACTTTGGCATCTCATTCACATAATTTGCTCAACTACAAAGCATTACAAACTACAGCATCCAACTTTCCCCTCCCACGAGCTTCCTACACCACACCTTTCATCTTTTCTTCCCTTCTTTTTGGAACTAATTCCTCTATGAAACAAAAGAACATACAACAACATCTCTCAAAGGACGATGGATGGATGATCAAAGATACAGAGAGCAACAAAGATGAGACAGATTGATCTTCACGAGAACATTGCATGTATCACATTCTTTCCCCCAACTCAACTAATTCTCTAGCTAAACAAATCAACTCTCGCCGGACGCCGTCTAGAGGTTGTGGGTGTGGTTGCTGTGGCCGCCGTGGTACATCGGCGGAGCCGCTCCCGCCGCGGTGGCGTTGAGGTGGCCAGCCAGAGGTAGCGGCGGCGGGCACTGGTAGCACTTGGTGAAGAGACCAAACGTGTCAATCTGGCGGACGAAATTGGTCACGCTGGCCCAACCGCCGAACCCGAACCCGACTATCAGAACCCAAACCACCACAAATATGTTGATCACGTACGCCCCGACCCATCTCCCGAACCACTTGGGCGGCTGCTCCACCGCGTTCTGCAGTAACCACCGCATCACAGCCATTCATCAGACAATAAATCAATCAAACGATGCACGATGCTAAACCTTAAACCCGTCGATCCGATCAGAAATATGAGATACTGAACCTTAAACGATAGGCGGTTTTAGCATTATGGAACGGTTGAGCTACAGTTCAACCACGATTTAAACGAAAATATCTACTACTAATTTTTCCGACATAACTTCCGATACCGTTTCACAATCATTGTGCACAATAAAGCCCCTATTGCTTTTACCCTTCCACTTTTCACCTTTTTACCACCCAATGCAAATATAGCAGCAGCATACAATACTTCCTACACGGTTATGGCAAACTATTTTCTCTGGAATAAGATATTCAACTTGTTTCCATTGATATGTAAAACTACTTGCTGTAATAATTTATTGCTGTTGTTATCGATTTAGGAGAAGTAACCGGGTCTGGTCTGCTAGAACAGCGACCAACCAGTCCAATTGGTCAAAGTTAGCACTAGTGCAGCTGGTGATCATCACATTCGTATTACTTAATTACTATTAGGCTAATTAACAATTTCATAATGTTAATGTAGAATATTACGGGGTTATTAGAATATGCATTACCTCACGGGCAGCGGCGGATTTGAAGGTGAAGATGTGGGCCAGAGCAGGAATGATATAGACAGTGAAGCTAACAAGCAGTGATCCAACGGCGGAGTTGATGGGTCCGAAGAAAGGGAAAATGATGGCCAGGAACCATATCGGAATCACCACCGGCAGCCTCGCCGCCGCTCTCTTGCACATGCTCTTGCATTCATGTAGCCCGATAGCTTTCTCCCACACGAAGTAGAGCGGCGTGCAAGCAAACCCAAAAGTAATGAACTGCCAACAACAAAACCAAAAACCCATCTCAAATCGGATTCAGATTCCCAACCTCGTAATAAGATGGAAGCTAAAGTTTGCATCTTTGTCACTTTTTTAGTTTAACGAACCTGGTGGATGAGCATGAGGACGACGGCCATGTCCCTGAACGGGGATTTGGGGAGGAGGGAGAAGGCGTTGGAGTGGTTGAGAAGGGCGTCGCCGAAGGCCCAGTAGACGGCAGAGGCAGAAGGGAGTGTGAGTGTCAGAACGTAAAGAGTGGCCAGCAGGTAGATGGATTTGAACTTCTGAGGCTTCCACATCGCATGCATAATCTCCCTGCACATGGTAATTACCAGTAACGTTGGATTTCATTTTCATTCTTCCCAAAAGAAGAAAAAGTAAAACAAAACTTCGGATTTCATTGTGTCGATGATTAATGATGGATTAGTGTGATTAAAAGGCTTCTTTTTTAGTTGGAATCATGAATACTATAACCTGCCAGCTACTGCAAAAAAGCTGGGGAGGGGAAAAGCTTCTCTGTACTAATATACTCTATAGCATTATCACGTTATGGTAACTTGGTAATTCGTTCAGACATAAACAGACCACTTTCAATTATATTTCCCCCCTTTCATGATAAAAGCAAAAGTTAGGAAGAAGAGAGGAAAAGGGTTTCTTATATTCCATGCGCCTTTCCATCAAAGAGAGAAATGGATTGAAAAAAAGAGGACTGGCTTTTTTCTGCATTGGAAAGCTGTGAAAGCTCTTGATGACAAACTGCTTTCTGGGTCTCCTCACCCCACGCCTAAGAAGCAAAATAATGGAGGAAGCAGAGCAATTTTCCATGCATATGGGTTAAAAGGCCAACATTTGGGAACATGGATTGGTCATGGCTTTATGGGACTACTCCATGGTCAGGAGGGCAATGTCTAAGTAAGTCAAGGTAAAGTCACTATCAGAAACAAAATGAAGTTGACATGACCAAGAACCCCTTTCCCGTATTCTTTACTCAGTCATGTAAATTATCCCTATGCTGCTCGGATTTCTAGAGTAAGAAATATTGTAAAAACATACATATATGTGTTCACATGTAGAAAATGAATGAATGGAAGTAACGTTAAAAGGGACAGGAAATGCAGCATCGAGTATATACAAGATTTGGAGGGGATTGTGATATGTTGGGGTTTTTACTTACACAGTAACAGCATGTCCTCCGAATGTGTAGAGAATGTTGGTGGCCCCTGTGAAATACAGCACCATCTTCGTTGGCCCCGAGTGCTTCACTCCCTCCATCTTCAGTTCATCCCATACCAACAAAAATACAAAAATACATTCAGACAAGAAGCAACATGTGAAGGTGGTAATGCTTTCCATCCCTCTTTTATTCATTTTCTTTGTCACCGCACTCTTAACTACATATACTACAAAGGAAATCACTTTTTATTATCGGCTTACCCACAAATCAGTAGTAGATTAATCACAAACTGAGCTGTATTAACATGAGATCGAACTTCAAACAAGATGATTAAGAAATAAGAAACTAAGAAACCAGATTAATAAACACATGCATGCATTTGAGTTGTATCACAGTTCACAGGAGTCAGGGGCATATGGGGATCCAAAGTTAAAGTAGATAGACATGACAGCTAAACAACAATGGCAGTAATAAAGTGTGAAATGTGATTAATAAATAAAAGATGTAGCTTACAGGGCCATGGAGGATGGAAGCGATGGTGAGGTACCAAGCAGTGTAGGTGGTCATAACAAGGCCAAGAAAAGACCAGATTCTGTAATTGTGGAAGGATGGAATAAACACAGTTGTGGCGCAGCAGGCTCCGAATATGTATGTCCATGTCCTCTTGTCCAGATTGTCATTTATGTAATATATGTTACTGCAGAGAGCCCCCCAAAGTTCACCATATAGAGTATACATTAAGTTCAATCCCCATAGATAAACAAATATTAACACCAGCAGCTAACTACCAAACTACCCAGCATTAAACAATTCAACCGGTTTGTACTTTACCTAGCACAGGCTATGAGCTGAATGACAGATCCAAACAGAAGAAACGTGCAGTTAAACGCCAAACCCACGTTCCTCCAGTGCTTCCCCAACAGCCCATCAAGGACTTCAAACCATTGGATGACATGGTTTCTGAAATCCGCCTTCTTCTCCCTTTCCTTTCTGGTTCTGTACTCAACGTAGAGAACACTGATTAGATACGCCGTCCAGCTCCCCAGCAAGCCGTAGAAAAGCTGGAACATAATCCCGGACAGCATCCCAAGCTGGGAAAAGGAGTAGGGCAGGGTCAGTAGCACTTGAGCCACCTGTTCAAAACAAACAAAAGAAAAATGATTCACTCAAGCATTTCATCAAACACCAGCGATGCAGGAACGCAAAACAGGGGAACCAATGAAGTTTCATTAAAAAACAAAGTAAACCCAGGTGAAGGATGGAGAGAGACCTGATTCGAAGCGCAGCTGAACCAGGCGTCGTAAACAGAGCCGCCGTGCCACAGGAAGTTGGAGACTCTGCTTTTCACGTCTCTGACTTTGCCTTCGCTCTCCATCTCTACATAATTCCCTGCGATCACCGTCTCCACCGCCTTATCACCACCGCCGGCTCCACCTTCCATAATAATGGCTTCCTTTCTTCTTGATTGTGGGTTGCTCTTCCAATGGCGGGAAATGGGTTTGAAGAATTCGAAGGAATGGGAAGTGGGTTAGTGGGAATGGAAGGGGCAGAGTGTGCAGTGTATATATAACCAGAAGCAGAAGCAGAAGCAGAGGGGAGAAAAGGAGCTTGGAAATCTAATTTGCTTTTATCATCGTCTGTTTTCGTCCAAGGAATGTCTGCCTTTTCATCCCTCGAAAATCGAAATACTTGACTTGAACACTAAGGTATAAAAATGTTAATTAATCAATTAAATCGTTCTCCTAAAACAAGTATTGTAAACTATTTGAACAATAACCCATTATAAAGTTTGGTGTTTCATATTATCAAATTATCTTAAAACTGCATAATTATTCAAATTATTAAGAGTGCTTTTAATGTTATAGCACCATATAATCATTCACAATTTCGTTCCACTCTATTAGACTGGTCAACCAGTGGCGGAGCCAGGATTCGAAAGTATCGGTGTCCTCTTTTCATAATACAATTAAATTTATATTTCATTATTTAACAAAGGTAATTAAAATTAATAATATTCAAATAATTCACAATCATTGTTTTCATAAACAATCGATCATGAGTCGGGACGCGTTTTCATACTCTCAATGTATCCAACTAAACAATCATTAGCAAATTGGTCGCAATTCGACTTTGAAACTTGTTCTTAATATAGCTCAAAGTTGAAAAATGCTCGTTCTACACTTGCAGTTGCAACGGGTAGAGTCAAAACTAACTTCAGAAGACAGAGGGATCGATTTTTAGGTATTAATGATTGAGTGATGATTTAATCTAATAAACCTAATTTTAGAAGCACATACATTTGTTGGGAACCAATTTTTCTCTTCTAACTATCGATATCATAGAAAGTGAATGATTTAATCTAATAATCCGCACTTCATACCCATCTTCATAAATTGTACTAATGCAGATATTAGTAGGTAAAATTAAATTTCATAATCGATCGTTGTTGGATACTAAAAGTTTGTCAATTAAGCATATGATTTGGGGTTACTTTTTCATTATTAATATATTAATACTACTAATTTTTTGTGGTTTATCCAAATCAAATGGATGCCATGAAACTCACTTGTTAAGGGCTAGCTCCGCCCATATCCATATCCAACACAAAATATTCTATATCTTTAACTTTTTCAGTATAATCTCCGATATAATTTTATAATTTATTTTTCCATTCTCTTTCATTTTCACATGCTATAATATCGGTTTATAGGCTGGAGGGGTTGGTGAGGTAAAAACAAAGTTGCATGGATTTCGAGATACTTTCACCGTAGTTAGAAATGACAGTGGATTTGTTTTTTTTTTTTTTTTACTGCGTTGTTTATTTATCCCATAATATAGGGCGTGAAGGTAGGCTTAGTGTTGGGTCTCTGTAATCAATTTAATTAAGTTAAGTGGGGGGGATTATTAGTTTATTAATATTGCAAGAATAAAAATGATTAGCAATGTTCAAAGCGTGAAATCGATTGTCTGCACGAGCGGCTCTCAACCCACGCAAACCCGCTTCCCTAGCCAATCTCTCATCATTGAAATTTTTTTCCTCTCCTCTAATCTGCCCCTCCATTTGCTCTCCTAATTCCTGATTTGCCATTCAATTTATTATACCTAGTTTGATGATTTGTTCCATTTTCATCTACTTTGGAGTAGGGATGGTAATGGGCAGGTCCGGGGTGACTATCTTGATACCCATACCTGCCTGCGGTAGGTCGGGTCCAGGTCGGGTATTTTATTATGGGGCACGGGTCGGAGCAGGTCAACCCAATGGATATATAATTTAGGTGAAAAGCATTAGAAATATTCGTTATTTTCATTAAAATACCAACAAAGAAACCATAATATGATAAAATGTAGTTAAATTATTAGAACATTTGAGATTTTCACTTATTTAAAACTTTATTATAGCTAAAATATGAGGTAATAAGAGGAAAACCGTAAGTAATTTGACTAAGATTGCATGTAATTTAGGGAAGAACGGGTCGAGAATGGGGCGGGTCAGGGCAGGTCGGGTCGATGAGAGGTACACATGCCCGCCCCGCCCCAAAACAGGTCAAATAGGTCGGGTCAAACAGGTCAGGTCGAAATTGTCATCCCTACTTTGGAGTTGTGTTTTAATCTCCTCTTGGATTGCAAACATGCAAAATAAGGTGTACAAAGTCTATTTGTGACTATTACACCCATGTGTTTTGGTTTATATAACAAACTTGCATGCTAAATTCGATCGTTGAACAAACTAAATCTTAACAATTTGTCGATCCTTAAGTATGTTTGTTACGGAAAAGCTGGCAACCACCAGGGTTTATCGTTCTAGATATAGCCTTCGCAAAATTAAAATAAAATAATTTAGTCATGGGCAACGATGCTTCAATGTTGAAGCGAAAGAAAAACTAATATTACGTGCAAATATAATTAGTAACATCGTGGTGGGAGATAGTCGATACTCAAGAATCGTGACACCTTCGATATTCAGGTGTTTGACCAGACCTGTTGTCATTACTTCATCTTTAAGGCGATCGAGCAGTACTCTCACAATTAATGTTCATACATTCTTATATTACGGAGTTATGTAATTTCGTTTATCAGAAGTTAGCATACTTCCGGGATAAGTTTTATCTCCTTAGCACATCTTCTTCAAATAGATCATAGTCTAGTCTATCAAATTTATCACCGTGATCTAAAGATAAATATAAATTGAGTTGCACGCATCATAATCTTTACCTCCAAACTTAACTAAATTCATACCCTCTAATTTGAACCCAAGCTATAAAATGTTTGTTAATTAACCCAAGAAAATCACAATTTTCAAAATTGACCTAGTGTGGTGATGACAACATCTATTACGCTGTAAATTTGAATATCAAGGCCAACAACCAACAGAAAAATTAGAGGAAATCAAGAAGATGGAGAAGTTAGGGTGGGCAAATTTTACCAACAATAAAATAAGAAAGTAGAGAGGGAATTATTGCTGCCAAATAGGTAGGGGTGTTCAAATGGTTACCATGGTTATAACCAAACCAAATAAGGCTAAATTCCATTAACCATGGAATACAATATCATAACCAAACCGTCCAAACTAATACAACAACCAAATTAACCAAACTAAAGTTTAATCGGTTTGGTTAATTGGTTAACCAGATTAACCAATATAAAATCACATTATCATTGACGATGAAAATTTTCCTGTTAATGCAACAATTCGCAATTTATATGATGAATAAAACTTAACAATCAACACGTAGTAATAGTTAACTCTTAACAAAAATACATGCAACTAAGACAATTATTTTACGATTAGTATAGAAGTATTCACCTAACAAAAATTTATCACAATGGTATGGGTTAATGAATTGTTGTGTTTGTGTAAATTGACTTAGTCTCTTAGCAATTATCATAGGCTGGAAATGACCTTTTTTTCAAGTTTTCATCCATCATAATGTATGAAATTTATCTAAATTAAGCGTCCATATGTTGTGGTCTACATTTTACATATACAAATATACACTATATGAGCAATATTGAGCTTTATATTTTGAGAGTATAAAAGGGATGAACGTTAACTCTTGAGTGGTTATGCAAAGTATTAAGTATGTGTATATAATATATGTTAGATATATGACTAGTTACTTAACTGGTTAATTTGGTTTGACTGGTTAGGAGTGTCTGAAACCAAACCAAACCACCTAAACCAAACAAGTTAAAAACTTTAACCAAACCAAACCAATTATCCAAATTAACTAAACCAAATTATCCAAATAGTACTGGTTAAAACGGTTACCATGGTAACCAAACCATTTGAACACCCCTACAAATAGGGGCGTGGTCTTCTTTTCTGTGAAGTACAGTAATGTTTTGTTTTTTTTTGGAATTTCAAGCATGTCACTTAAGGTGGTACCTTTAGATGATTGTATACATCATGATTAAAAACCACTAAAATCAAGATTAACCCATCAAAATTATTCTCTTCACTATTAAAAGGAGAGGAAGAAAAAAAACATCGCAATGTATGCATCACATCATCGTAATCAGACATGGGATTCCCTTTTAGCTCAATACAAAAACAAAAAAAAAAAACAAAAATTAAGACAATATGCTCATATCTAAGGAATTGTTTCACGTCGTTTGCTGTCCACGTTTATTTCGTTTAAACTTCGTTCTTTAACTTATTGGATTGCGCAACATCGGATTTACTGACTTTCTTGATTGTGCATTATCAACATCAAATCATATCAACATAAAATTGGACAAATGCAACATTCAGAATGGCGGTATTTGTCGTTCAGATGGCTGAAACCACACGAACCCTTTTTCCGAATGAAACCGTGTTAACTACTAACTATCAATCAATGTGATTGGGAGAGAGAAAAGAATAATAAGTACTTCTTTTTATAAGGGTTATATTGGTTTAATTTTTTGTGATTAAAGTACTACTGCAGGGATTCGAACCTGGGACGTCCAGATTCTAAACTAGTGGAATTACCACTAGGCTAAATCCTTGTTCGTAATATGTACTTTTCTTTCCCCACGAAATTTCTGCATCAGAGGGAACATATTCATTGTTGTTGTTGTTGTTGAGGTACCACAACAAATTCTCTGTAACTATAGTGATGATTTTTTTATCAGGGACCAAAAACATTCTACTGTGTCATATGTCTCCTTGACTGCCCACTCACTTCACTCCAAAGTCCAAACCCACCAATATTTACTTGATATTGGCTGTCTGCATCAGCATGCTTTGTTTTTCTATGGCAACCAACTATGATAGTATCTTTGTCCCTGGCTGCCCTTTCTCCCATTTGGTCGAATCATTTGGGCAGCAACAGCAAACTCACGTTTTGCTCTGTGCAAATAAGACATTTGGAAGATAAGTTAAAAGGCAGGAATGGTTTTGAAAAAAAAAAAAAATTATCCTACAAGCGGTGAATATGAATACAGACGAGCGAGAAAACACGATTAATTATGCGACATATATGATTTTGATTTACACCGTTTCTCAATACTACATGAGACTAGATGGACGAAGAATGACACGTAGTAATAAGTTCACGAGGACTCTGATTGATCCGAGATCTGAAAAATCGTTACATGAAAATGAAGGATT